AAATCCTGAAAGATGATGCTGTCACAGTGCTGCACTCAATATGCCAGCAAACTTGGAAAAGTCAGCAGTGGGCCACAGGACTGGAAAAGTTCAATTTTCATTCCAATCCCTAAGAAAGGCAATGCTCAAACAACCGCACAATTGCACTCATCTCACATGCTAGCAAAGTAATACTCAAAATTCTCCAAGCCAGGCTTTAGCAATACGTGAACCGTGAACTTCCAGATGTTCAAGCTGGTTTTAGAAAAGGCAGAGGAACCCAAGATCAAATTACCAACATCCGCTGGATCTTCGAAAAAGCAAGAGAGAGTGCGCTCCAGCTCGTGTTCTGTGTAAGACGTAGATCTGAGCGACCGAAGCCACGAGCCAGATGCTGGTGGCCGTGGGTCCCCATGGACAGTCCCAGCCAAGCTGCTTCAGCCGCGTGAAGATGGGCTTCGTGATGGGTTGCACCGTGGGCATGGCGGCGGGGGTGCCCTTCGGCATCTTTTCCTGTCTCAGGATCGGAATGCGGGGTCGGGAGCTGATGGGTGGCATCAGAAAAACCATGATGCAGAGTGGCGGCACCTTTGGCACATTCACGGCCATCGGGATGGGCATCCGGTGCTAATCAGGGCAGTGGTTGCCCACAACACACACCCCCTCCCATCAGTTCCATCCCAAGTGTACTATAATAAAGCAAGTCTTTGAGTAAAAAAAGAAAAAAAGGAAAAGAAAGAGAGTTCAAGAAAAACATCTATTTCTGCTTTATTGACTATGCCAAAGCCTTTGACTGTGTGGATCACAATAAACTGTGGAAAATTCTGAAAGAGATGGGAATACCAGAGCACCCGACCTGCCTCTTGAGAAATCTGTATGCTGGTCAGGAAGAAACAGTTAGAACTGGACATGGAACAACAGACTGGTTCCAAATAGGAAAAGGAGTACGTCAAGGCTGTATATTGTCACCCTGCTTATTTAACCTATATACAGAGTACATCATGAGAAATGCTGGGCTGGATGAAACACAAGCTGGAGTCAAGATTTCTGGGAGAAATATCAATATCCTCAGATATGTAGATGACACCACCCTCATGGTAGAAAGTGAAGAAAGAGCCTCTTGATGAAAGTGAAGGAGGAGAGTGAAAAAGTTGGCTTAAAACTCAACATTCAGAAAGCTAAGATCATGGCACCAGTCCCATCACTTCATGGCAAATAGATGGAGAAACAGTGGAAACAGTGGCAGACTTTATTTTTTTTTGTGCTCTAAAATCACTGCAGATGGTGACTGCAGCCATGAAATTAAGACACTTACTCCTTGGAAGGAAAGCTATGACCAACCTAGACAGCATAGTAAAAAGCAGAGACATTACTTTGTCAACAAAGGTCCGTCTAGTCAAGGCTGTGGTTTTTCCAGTAGTCGTGTATGGATGTGAGAGTTGGACTATAAAGAAAGCTGAGCACCAAAGAATTGATGCTTTTGAACTGTGGTATTGGAGAATACTCTTGAGATTCCCTTGGACTGCAAGATCAAACCAGTCCATCCTAAAGGAAATTAGTCCTGAATGTTCATTGGAAGGATTGATGTTCAAGCTACAACTCCAAAATCTTGGCCACCTGATGCAAAGAGCTGACTCATTTGAAAAGACCCTGATTCTGGGAAAGGTTGAGGGCAGGAGAAGGGGACAACAGAGGATGAGATGGTTGGATGGCATCACCAACTCAATGGACATGAGTCTGGGTAAACTCTGAGAGTTGGTGATTCAGAGGGAGGCCTGGCGTGCTGCAGTCCATGGGGTCGCAAAGAGTCAGACACGACTGAGCGACTGAACTGAACCGAACTTAGTTACAGAAGGTGCTTAAAGAAATTTTGTGTATGCCTTGAGGCAACCCTGGCCCAGGGCTGCACTAATGCTTTCTTGACTTTTTTTTTTCCCTGTCTCTGTACCCCCTCCCTTCCCTGATGAGCAACTGTTTCTATGTGCCCTTTATGACTCAGGGAAGGTGATGAAGGTTGGAATCTATTCCCTGAAAAAAAGGCACAGGGGACACAGAAAGTCTTCTGTGCCCAGAAGCCCCACAGGGTCCTGCTGGTTTCAGAACTAAGCCCTGTAAATTTGGCTAATGGGACTGAAGAACTAAATTTTAAATCTTACTTAATTTTAATTAATTTGAACTGTGAATTTTAATTAATTTGAACTGTGGTGTTGGAGAAGACTCTTGAGTGTCCCTTGGACTGCAGGGAGATCCAACCAGTCAATCCTATGGGAAATCAGTCCTGAATATTCATTGGAAGGACTGATGCTGAAGCTGAAACTCCAATACCTTGGCCACCTGATGCGAATAACTAATTCATTGGAAAAGACCCCGATGCTGGGAAAGATTGAGGGTGAGAGAAGGGGACGGCAGAGGATGAGATGGTTGGATGGCATCACTGACTCAATGGACATGAGTTTGAGCAAGCTCCGGGAGTTGGTGATGGACAGGGAGGCCTGGCATGCTGCAGTCCATGGGGGTCACAGAGTCAGACACAACTGAACTAAATTTTAATTAATTTTTAAATTTTAAAAATGATACTTGATTTTTGGGAAAAAAGTATATTTGACGTAACTTTAGTTTGTGAATCTACTTTTTCAGCTGTAAATTTAGTGAAAACTAAACCCACAGGGAGGAGGCCTCAAAGAGTTGGACACAACTGAGCGACTGAACTGAACTGAACTGAAACTCACATCATACATTTCCAATGAAGATTCAGCATCCAAATAGAAATTGACACTCAAGGTAAATTTAATATCACTTTTTGAACTTAACATGAAAATAATCATTCAAAATATCTCATTAATTTTATACTGAGTATTCTGCATTCAACTGTCAGCTGAAAAAGACACCATGTAAAAGTTGTGAGTTAAGTTCTATTCAGAAATCTTAACTGATGGCTATAGACCTTGCGACAGGCTCTTAGCGCTAAAGCACTGCTCCAAAGTTATAAGGGAGGTGCCAGGAATACATACAAACTTTTTGCTAGGAAAAGCATTCCTAGTGAAGCATAAAAAGATTACTGTAAATCACAAATAACAGACATCTTGAGTTAATGATTTTAGAGCTTTTCTACTTTGGGGAAGATGTTAGAATCTAGCGGTCATAGAAATTTTTCCATAGATATGTATATCTTATTTTTCTTGGGGCCAGTGAATCCAAACCACAGAATACTTGCCGTTTTTCCCCATCCTGAATTCCCCTCAGGGTGCAGTCTTGGGGACACTGCAGTGGCTAATGCATGGAATCTTGCAGAACTGGCATGGCAGGCATTTTTTTCTTAACACATTAAAAACACAAGTTTCAGCAATTGCTTCATACTTTTAAGGAGTGGCTACCTTAAAGCTACATATGAAACTCACATTTTTCCCCCAGTGGCCAGCAATGACCTAGATGGCCCGGCAAATAATAAAAAGCCCTGTAAAATGGTAGCTATTGTTTGTATGATAGGAATGAGAACGTCATTCTTCCGTGAAGATTAACAGCGCTTAACACTGAACGCTGAAAATTACTTAATATGATTATACAGTACCCCATTTGTCTCTGTAAAACCCTTAAGTCCTTTTCGCAACATGAAGAGCTAGAAAACAATTCTGACAAAGGACAGAGGAACAAAGGTAGCAGCTATTTTAAGTGGAGGATCTAGACCTGTGATTTCAAGCTTGGTCCCACGACCAGAAGTAGAAAACTGCCCCCGGGCCCGACTCGCACCGCAGTTTTTGCCCCAGAGCAACGCCCAGGACCGGCGGCTGACCTCCCGGCCTAAAAACTTTTCTATTTCGTCCTAAAGGAAAAGGGCCCGAGGCCAGAAGGCTCCGGCGCTACCGACCTCTGCGCTCCGGGTGCCCAGTCCAGCCCCAAAGGCGGCTCGGACAGGATACTCGCGGAGGCGGGCGGGCACGGGAGGACCCCAGGCTTAAGCCGCCTGATGCCCGCCGGGATCGGCTTCTGGACCGCGAGCGATCGGTGAACACGACTGCGGGCTCCAGAACCCCAGACGCCGAGCGCCCCGAGGCCAAAGAGCGTCGTAACGCGCAGCAGCCAGAGGCGGGCTCCACGCCCTTTCGAATCCGGAGCGGGGCTGATGACGAACACAGGGCGCGACGGACGCACACCCGCCCTGCGCTCGCACGACGGTGCGTGCGGGGAGCGCGAGGGAGACCCGGCTCGTCACCGGCGCGACCAGCGTTCCGCCTCCTCCGCTCCCTGCGCTCCCGCCACCTCGGCAACCCGGGGCCCGCCTCCCGCCTCCATCCGAGGCCTCCGCCGCTGCGAGGCTCACAGCTTCGTTCCCGTCTCTTTAAATGGTGGGGCCAGCGGGCCGCCCCTGCAGCCGCTGCCTGGGTGGCCCCGCGCGCCACTATTGAGGGGCGAACCAAGATGGCGGCGGCTTTGGCTCGGTGAGGAAGACGGAAGAGGCGGCGGCGGCGGAGGGATAGGGACTCCCGGTAGCCAGAAGCGCTCGTGCGCTTGGGAGGCTCTCGGAGTCTCCCGCGCAGTAGTAGCAGTTGCAGCGGCACCCGGCGCCCGTCAGCTTCGGGCTTTTGAAGCAGGCGAGTGGAGCACAGCCTCCGGCTGCGGTGGCAGGGCCAGGTATAAGGAAGGAAAACATGGCGGCGGCGGCCTGAGGAGGCGGCGGCGGCGCGGGAAGCGGCTTGGCTGAGATCATGGCGGAGGCGGGAGCACGGCAGTGACCGGCGCCCCGAGTTCCTAGCGCGGCGGAGCGGGAAGCTGAGAAGCGCTGCACGCCCCGATTGGGGCGGCAGGGCTCCCCGGGCCTGGACAATAGCGCCGAGGAGCCAGAGGCGAGGAAAGGCGGGGACCAGAACTCGGCCCCGCGGCGGGCCATGCGTGCGGCAGCGCGGCTCCGGGGCGGCCAGCAGCGGCAGTGAGGCCGAGGAGCCCTCGGGTCGCGGGCGTGTTCCCGCCTTCCCCGGACCCGCTTCCCGGGCGACTCCGGCGGGGCCCGGCCCCCAGGCGGCAAGATGACCGACACCCGACGTCGGGTGAAGGTTTACACCCTCAACGAGGACCGGCAGTGGGACGACCGGGGCACCGGACATGTGTCGTCCGGCTACGTGGAGCGCCTGAAGGGCATGTCTTTGCTTGTCAGGGCCGAGAGTGACGGTGAGTGAATCCTTCGTCTCCCCGGCGTCCCTGGGCCACCTCCCGGGTTCTTTGGGGAAATCCTGGGCCGCTCCCTGGGAGGACGAAGAGGGCGGCTGGGCTGCAGCTGCCGCCTTCTCGGGGCAGAGCGGGCCCCGGCACCCCAGTACTCCCGTAACTGCCCGGCGAGCTCTCAGAGTGTTTCGGTCTCTGAGCGCCCGGTCGCATTTGAGCGGAGGTGCCTTGGAGTGTGGCGAGGTCGGGGACGTGGGCGCGGGAGTCCGGAGCGGGCCCGTTCCTGTGCACCAGAGTGACCTTGAGAAAGGTACTGATTAAACCGATCTTCTGCCTTAGTTCATCCATCTGTAGAGTAGGCATGAAACTTTTCTCGGAGCTAAGAAAGTTCTTAACAGTTTCGCTTTTTGGAACAAGAATATTTTGTTGTACTCCCCCGCCCCCCGCCCATACACATTATTACTGCTGCATCTTTCCGATCCTGTTGCAGGTTGGCAGCGCCGGTTCATGGATCTGGCAGCTCTGCACTAGGCAGAGAAAATATTTCTTTGCGTAAGAAGATAGATGGGTGTTTCCCCAGTGCTAGTTGTCTTTTTCATTAGAAGTGAAGGTGTTTGTGTGTAGTTTCACTGTGTAAACGTTCCGCAAGTGTGGAGTCATTTTATCGTAGCTTTTTGATTGCTTAAATATGTATTCATAGTTTGGTTCGGTTAACAGGTGGGGAGAAGTTGGCAAGTATCTCTAAAACCTTTCGATTGCCCCAGTGGTGCGTAAGCTTCACGGATTTTGAAACAGCTCTCAAGGTTCAAAGACCAAGTTGTTTGAAGATAAGCTTTTCACATTTTTAAAGACTCAACTCTTCAGGGAATGCCACTTCCCCCGGTGGCATATCGTGAATTTCCCTTAAAGAAAAAGTTGACATGGTGTAAAACTTTTTTCAAAATTGTTCCTCTCAATATGAAAACCTGTTTTGTAACAATATCCAATAGTTTTATGGTAGCTAACTATCTCAGTTTATGATTGTAGTTGTTCTGTATCTGAATTATTACAAACTCATTTTAAGGAATTTTATTGGACTTCCTAGCCAGAACTCCAGTTCCATGGAACAGATAAGGCTCACCATTCTGTAATTGACGACTGCAGGGACATTGCTTTTCAATTTGAGTTGAAAGAAAAGTAGTAACTTGGAGTATATTGCCCACGGGTTACTTTATAAGGCTCCCCCAAAATAAAAGCGGAGAAAAACTATGTTTTCTTGGAGGCATTTAAAGGGTTTTGAATTCATTGGATATATTTTTCTGAGGTCTATATTACTTGCCTCTTAAAATACAAGTTTGAATGTGAAGTGTTAGTTTACTTTGGTATATGACTATCACATAATTACCAACTACTCTTATGTTCTATGTTTTTGCTTGTTTGGAAAACTTGTTATGTGATGAGTTGGAAAGCATAAGCTTTATAAGTTTGGTTAAGCATTTGTAGATTCGAGATGAATTCTTTGAAATCTCCTAATAATTTAAAATAAGAGGTAACTTCACATCTTGTGTTTAATTGTACTCATACAAAGTCCTTTGTTTAAAGTACTTTAAAGCATTAAGTCCTAATGTTATTTTATCATAGGGAATCATACTCTTTTACCACAATAATACAAGAATCTCTCCCCCCCCCCATTTTTATCTGTTAGGGAAAGAACTAAAAAAAAAATTGATTGTGCCCTTGTTCAATTTATAAGTTATTAGGAAAACTGAATCCAAAAGTAGGCTAGAAAATTCCAAGATATTTGTGAATCCTTTATAAATAATTTTTACTTTTGATATTCTTTTTTCTAACAGGAAAACTCCAAATAGGAATAATAGTCAAAATTTATTGAGTGTCTGCTGTGTGCCAGTTGTATCTTCTGGTGTTTTCTGATGTAGGTACTATTTTTAGCCATATATGCAGATTGGGAAACTGAGGCCTAGAGAAAGAAGCTAAAGAACCAAAGATCACATAGCTAGGTTAATTAAAAAGCAAGATCAGTGTTCAAACTGAGTTCGGGGAGAGGTATCAGATTGAATGAGATTTCTAGACTATGACTTGAAACTCGTATTATCAATTATTTAATTAATATCATTAACTGTTTACAGTGTGTGTTTGAAACACCCATATTGTCTGCTTGCATTTGCTGCTTTATACTTAGACCCAAGTTTTATTTCAAAGGAAATGAAGACAAATTTTTAGCCTAACGACATTTAAAGTTGTAATTTGTCTCCAAGCCACATGTAGGAATTTTTGCATTGGCTGCTAGCTTGGGTTATCCATTATTGTGTGCTTCCCTCATTTGCCGTTACGGGATAATTCAGAATTTTCTTTTTCTGATTTTCCATATGAATCATTTATCTTGCTAGAGGACCTTATAGACTAACCTGAAAATCATGAAGGCAGTTTTTGAATGGAAGTACTTGTGTCTTCCGTCAGTCCATGTTGTTCTGGGCAAATGCACCCTTCCCCTGTGAAGCTGAGTTGGCTTGACAGTCTGTAGCTCACTTTGCCTTGGAGGAGAGGTGTCCCACTAGCTACTGAACCCATTTTCTGATTTGCATCCTTATTCAATGGGTTCCTGCTAGCAAAATATGCTGTTGGAATGTATCCTTTTTTAAAAACAAAGATAGATTACCTAATTTCTCAGGTTTTATTATAGCTATGTACTTGTAAGTTTCCATCTTCAGTAAAGATTATTTAGTGTATTTTCTTCCAGTTTATGCTGTACATATTAGCTTGTTGCTTACTCTCTTATTTTATGTTCAAATCATTCTTTTTTTCCATTATGATTTTTGCCACCTCCTACCAATTTTAGAATTGATAAAGAAATTGGAATTTCTTTGCATACTGAAGGATATCTTTGAACATAAAATCACATCAGTACTCTTTATTCTGGATTACTTGCCAGTCATCAAGAATAGTGTGTTTATGTTTTTTACTTTAAGTTTTATGTTTTTTTACATCCAATAGTTTTAATTAATATTTATTAATAAAATCAATAAATTTTAATATTTAATTAAGTTTTAATTAATTTACATTAATAGTTTTAATTCTGACTTGTTTATTCAGAGTTAAAAAGATTTGATTTTCACTGTTACTTGAGGCCTGAAGAAATGAGACATGAGGAAGTGTTTTGTTCAGGGTAGCACTGCTAGCTAATGGTAAAAACTGGAATCCTGTGCTTCTACCTCTTGATAGAACTTGGTTGTAGATAAATAGGAGAAGAGGTCAACACTCTGGGTAGGAAAGTCTGTTTTGTTTTGGCTGCTGTGGTGAGAAATGAACAGAGATAGAATCAGCATTTTCGATGTTATTCTTGTAAATAAGTAAAGTAGTATATGATCTTGCAACAATAAACATTTCAAAATTTAGCTACCACGAAGAACTCAGTGGGAGAACTATTTCACTTTGAAAACATGATTTAAATTCACTTTCTTTTTCTCTTGGGTAGTCCTGCATTGTGGAAAATTAATAGGCTTAGGATAATCAACCCTTTAGTTATCATCTGTTACATGTGGTAACTTGAGTTCAGGGCTTCAGCTACGTTGTGTATAACTGGGGTGGAGAGTGTTGAAGGCTGACAGAGGTGTGAGACCTCTTAATGTAACACTACCAAGTTTTTTCCCTGAGCTTTCATTTTAGTTTTTAAGTGCCTTTGTGGTCCACAAAATTGAGTGGGAGGGACCTGGAATACCGATCTCTACTATAGGTTTAAAGCATTACACTAATCTCCTATGCAGGTGAGATTTTTGGTTTTACATTAATTCCTTTTGATACCTTTTGAGCAAGTGAATTTTCCAGCTAAATTAAACTGTATAACAGAAGATTTAAGTCTCAACAATTATGGAATGCTTCCTAAATAGTGTATACTAGAATGTTTTTCTTAAGCAGTACAATGAGTCTGTGATGCTTAGTCTTTTGTTTATAATATGTTTCTAGATCATTGTTATCAATACTAATTTTTCTACTATTCAGAAATAAAGTGATGCCAGGGAAATGATATTCTGATCATGCTATTAAAAAAAAGAGTATTGAGTCCTGGTTACGTGTTAGGTTCTGGGTCAGGCACTATATATTCAGTTAATACTCAAAAGCAACCCTGAGAGGTATTATTTTTTTCTCACTTTAAGTCTTGGTGCATTGATTCTTTGATTGGATAGTTTTGGGGTCTTTTTTTCCTGTACCCAGCCAAAAACCTAGATTTTTTTTTTTTAATATAAAATCTTTCTGTTTTAAAAGATTTGCATGAACTATTCCACAGTGGTTAAAGAATCCTGTCTGTAATGCAGGATACATAGGAGATGCAGGTTCAGTCCCTGGGTGGGGCCGGTCCCCTGGAGTAGGAAATAGCAACCTACTCCACTACTCCTGTGGGTAAAATTCCATGGACAGAGTAGCCTGGCGACTGAGCATGCACATATTGTATGAGTGTATTTATTAGAACTGGGAAGCAAACACGCTGTCCCTAGCTGGATCCATACTACAGGCACGAGTTTTGCATTCTCTCATTTCACTTCTTTTGCATGTACTAACTGCTCTCACCCTATCCCTGGAGATGTTTGTTTCGTTTTGATAGGGTTGTGTTGGGAGTTTGCAACAGGATACTAGAGAAGTTATCATATTTTATCTTATAGGAGACCGAAGATGTGAAGTAGAGAGGGAACATTTTTAATGATTTAATTATTTATACTCATAGTTGTACTGTTTTATGGTCACTTTTTCTTGCTGTCAGTTCATAACAACTTTACCTGTGATTGTCTTGGTTATGTTATGAGTGGGCAATTTCCCCTTTACCATTGTCTTCCTATTTCCTGAGTGTATAGACCTCCCTTTTATCAGTATGTTTGGGACATCTGTTTGTGTCAGGATACACAAATTGAATAACACTTTGACTTTCTCATACTGTTCTATCTCATCTAAAGTTAGCATAGTATTCACAAAGTATAGCATTATTGACACAATAGCATTTCTCAAATTTTTTCCCTTAGGATACCTTTAATGTACTAAAACTGAGGACCTCTGAAAGCTTTATATGTTTAAACAAAAAATATCAGTATTTACCATGTTAAAGCTTAGACTTCAAAAGTCTTTTCTTTTACATTTTTACATATCTCTTTAATGTCCAACTTAATTTTTTATAAAGGATTCTTTTCTGCTTCTGCATTCAGTCTGTTGCAGTATCAATGTAGACACACTGAGAGAATAAGAATGAAAAGGGCAGCTAATCTCTTAGTAATATTATGAAAATAGTTTTGATTTTCTAGGCCTTTTGAGATCCCCACATTCTGAGTATAGCTGGCACAGACATTGTTTCTAGTTTTCTTTAACCTTTACAAACACTGCTAATGAAATCTTTATTCATATGCTTGGCACTTGTATGAGGGCATAGGATAATTTCCTAGAAGGATTGTTGGACTAAAGGGTAATATGTGTTTAAAAGCTTCATAGATAAAGATAAATGATCCTCCAAAAGGGTTGTGCTGGTGTTCAGTTTTGGAATAGTAAATGAGAGTTAAGGACCCTCTTTTATTTTTTGAAGTATATATATGCATAAATATCGACTTGAGGGTGTACAGAACTTTGGGATGGACTGGCAAGCATTTGCTTTGCAGGAGTATTCTTTAGTTCACCTGTGGGTAGTTGATTTTGCTGTGATAGATTCTACAATGGCAAGTTTAATTGATGCAGTCCCCTTAGCTTCATCAGTCTCTCTTGTTTTTGCATTTCCATGTTTCCTTCTGAGTCATTCAAGTGGGAAGGCCTTTTTCAAGTCTTGATATTGGGGTTTGCTCTTTAGGCTTGTCTTTCTCTTGTCTGTGTAAGAGTGTCTTTCTCAAATATGTGAGGTTTCTCAGATGTGTGAAGAGATGGTATCGTATCGGGGTGGTGAGAATGAATTCCCCTTGGAGGATAAAGGAAGGCATCTATTTCATTGGAGAGGATGAATATGTTTCTCAAATTGGGTTGAGGAGCTGTTTTGCATATGTGATTCAGTTAAGATTTATATGCTGGATCTATCCATGATCAAAAGCATGTGTCTCCTTTAACTCCCTTGATCTTGCTTAAGGTCTCCTGTTAAGGATTATTCTCTTCTTTCTCCCCTTGTTTTCTCTACTACCATGATAAATACCTCTCACCTACAGTAGAACTCTGCATCCCCTTCCACACTCATTTATTATTAGGATGGAACTACTGTTCTCACTACTGTAGCGACTGGTAGCAAACTTGTTGAGGGAAAGATTGTGTAAGTACTTGTTGACACTCAACTGGTTCTTTTTTGGTGATTGGATAAGTGCTTATAACTTGACCCAATAGGAACTGAGAGGTGGGGGTGGGGAACCTAATAGATGGGCTAGGAATAAAACTAGAAATATGTCTTTCTGGGTTCTTTTTAAATTTATTTTTATTTATTTTAAATTGAAGGATAATTGCTTTACAATATTGTGTTGGTTTCTGCCATACATCAGCATCATGTCTTTTTCCATTGTTATCTTACTTAGTCTCCCAATTAAAAGGTTGCTTTCCATGGTCCAGCCTCTACAACCTACTGACATCTTAGGAAACATGGTACTTGGGGACCAGAACTGGACTACCTTAAGTTGTATCTTAGACTAAAACCATGGGATATGGCTGAAATGGGTTTTAGGAGAGATACTTCCCCTGAATCTTGAGTGCCCCAGGAGAAAGAATACCTTTTAACACCTGAAACTTCTGGTATGTGCTTATCCTTGTTTTAGCCAGCACTTTGGGAGGGAACACTTCAAACTTCAGATAATTTGTAATTGATTTTTCCTTTCTAGTCCTCCTAATGCTGTAACATTATGGAGAGTTTTGAAACAAATGAACAGGGACAGGGGATGGAAACTGGTTCTTAAAAAATAACAATTTTACCAATGCTGGGTGTTTCATTTTAGCAGCTGCCAAGTCAGGTGTGTGTTTCTTGAAATCACAACTTGAAGTGATAAAATAGTTCCAGCCCCTATGCCATGTGTTGTTCTACCCCTTCTCTTAAAAAAAAACACGTCATAACCAGCATTCTGGAAGCCCGGTTCATGTCTCTCTTCAGTCACTATCTCTCCCGCTTCCCCGCAATAAACCTAACTTCTAACACTATAGATTAATATTTGGCACTTTTTAAATTTTATGTAAATGGACTTATGGGATATACATTTGTCTGAGGCTTCTTTCATTCATGTTTGTAAGGTTCATATACATTATTGCATTTACATATATTTGGTTCATTAACAATGTATGGTATTCCATCATATGAATATTTACACTTTAGGGGGTTATTTGGTAACAGAATTCACATGCCAGCTAATTGACTCATTTAAAGTGTATGATTCAGTATGTTCTGGTATAGTCACAGGGTTATGCAACTATTACCACAGTGAGAGAACATTTTGTTCTCTAAAAGAAATCATGTACCCATTAGCACCCATTTGTTCCCCCTTCCTCCCTGTCTTAGCAGCCACCAATCTGCATATCCACTAAATTTGCGTATTCTGGACAGTTCATATAAACACAGTCCTAAAATATGTGGTCCTTTGTAACTGGCTTCTTTCACTTATGTTTTCAAGGTTCATCTGTTATAGCATGGATCAGAACTTGGTACCTTTGTATGCTGAATAGTATTTCACTTTATCCATTCATCAGTATTTGGACCTTTGGATTGTTTCCATTTTTTGCTATTATGAATAATGCTCCTGTGCATGTATGTACACATACTTGTGTGGGCATATGTTTTCATTTCTCTTGTATATACCTAGGAGTGGAGTTGCTGGTAACTCTTTAACACTTTGAGGACCTGCCAAACTTAAGTAGATGCCTTTTTATATACCCACAAGAAAAATGTTTGAGGGTTCCAATTTCTCCACACAGTTGCCAGCTCTTGTCATTATCTGTCTTTGATTATAGGCTTCCTAAGTGGTGTGAAATGGTTATCTTTTCTTGGTTTTGATTTGCATTTATCTAATGAATAATGATGTTGAGCATCTTTTCTTGATACTGCCATCTTCTTTGGAAAGTATCTGTTCAGAACCATTGCCCATTTTTAGATTGGGTGTTTGCAAATTAAGTCACCACAACTTGGCAAATGCTGATATTTTACTATATATATTCAGTACCATTTAGCACCATTATGAGTACATGGTAGTGAAGGGTCAGTAAATTACTAACACAGGACAGTATCAAAATTAGTAAATGAATTTAAAGCAAAGCTAGTTCAATTTGGAAATGTTAGCGCACCTTTTTCTCAAGTGTCTGGTCACTATTTAGAATGGATAAAACAGTTGTTAAATGTAATAGGAGATGAAAGCCTTGGATGAGAGACAGCTGCAGAGAAAATGCTTCTTAAGTATTTTGGGCCAGAACTTGTCTTTAAACTGAGCTTGGTTGATTCCAGCTTAAACACAATTTATACCTCTCCAGGCGGAGAGGTACAAATCTAGTTTTAAAATTTGTTCTTTGTGAAGACATACAGATGGCCAACAGGCACAAGAAAAGATGCTCACATTGCTAATTAGAGAGATGCAAACAAAAACACCAGTGAGATATACCACCTTACACCAATCAGAATGGCCATTGTCAAAAAAAATCTACAAACAATTAATGCTGGGGAGGGTGTGGAGAAAAGGGAACCCTCCTACACTGTAGGTGGGAATGTAAATTGGTGCAGCTGCTACTGAAGACAGTATGGAGGTTCTTCCCAAAAAAAGGTGAAAATGGAGTTGCCATATGATCCTGCAATCCCACTCCTGGGCATGTAATTGGAGAAAACTATAATTGGAAAGGATATGCACCCTAGTGTTCATTCCAGCACTATCTACAATAGCCAAGACATGGAAACAACTTGTTCATAGGAGGGTAAATGGATAAAGATGTGGTCGTGTATACAATGGAAATACTACTCAGCCATTAAAAAAAGTAAAATAATGTCATTTGCAGCAACATGGATTGAAGAGATTATCATAGTAAGTGAAGGTAAGTCTAACAGAAAGATAAACACCATATGATATTGTTTATATGTGGAATCTGAAATACGACACAAGTGAACTTTTCTATGAAGCAGATTAATAGAACAGACTTGTGGTTGCCAAGAGAGAGAAGGGTAGAGGAGGGGTGGGCTAGGAGCGGGGGGCTTAGCAGATGCCAACTATTACAAATAAAAAGGGTGAACAGCAAGGTCCTACGATACAGCACAGGGAACTGTATTCACCCTATGATTAAATCGTAATGGAAAGGAACGTGATAAAGTGTGTTTGTATGTATATATTTATATAATTGAACACTTGGTTTTAATACCGTGAGTCTTACGATTCTGTGATACTGCCAGGGGAAAACAGATACATGCAAATTAAGCTTGTTCAGAGAAATAAATTGATAGTTTGAAGATGGAGAAGTTTGGTAATTCCTGTGTTAAACAAAAATATAAGATTTTCTGAAGGTGAATCACAATTTGGGGATGTACTTGGTCAATGAATCATCCCTGATGTTTTCAAACTTTTATCAGTAAATTCTTATTTTAGCCAGATTTTATTTAGAATGCTAATTTGCGTGTTTTATTTGCATTTCTCTCAATAATGGTGTATATCAGAGATTTAATCCCAGATCATCTGGCTTCACATTGTGCTATTTCCCCACCTGTGCTGCTCAGGAGTTGTTAGATCTCTGTTACCATCTAGTACTCACTCTTTAGTTGATTGTGTCTGTCTTGTTAAAAGTAAACATGTATGAAGCGAGCATTTCTTAGGTTTTAGGCTACTATATTTAAATTCATATTGTTTTAAAGTAATATTTCCTGTACTGAAGTTGTATGCACATCAGACCTTCAAAAAGGAAATGTGTGTGTATGTAAGGGAATAATACAGTGTTGCTGCTTTGCAGTTACATAATGGAAGGTGTGTGTTTTTTCCCTCTTTCCTAGGTTCTCTACTTTTAGAATCCAAAATAAATCCAAATACTGCATACCAGAAACAACAGGTAAATTTTTGAAGATGTTGTGCTTTATCTTGAATATTATCCTCTTGGTTTGGTGATTAAAGGAAGTGATTCCTTACAGTGAAAAATTGGAGCAGATTACATGTTTTGCCTATCTAATTCCAAAATACAGTTTCAGATATTTGACCAGCTGAGCCTTATTTCTCACAAGTTACATCTGAAATAACAGTTTTCTCTCCTAAAGAGAATTTAAAAAGTGACCACTGGTGAAATAATTAGCTCCTTTCTTTGCTGTTGTGAATGCTAGTAGTGCCGGAGGAACATTCATATCTCTATACAGCAACTTGGTATGAATATGAACCTGATTTCTTACATAGCCTGAGCAGGACCATATAATGATGTAACAGTTTTTTAAGAACTTTCAGTTTGAGTAAACTGTCTTGTACCCTTCTGATGCAAGAGATATCTGAAAGTAAATCTTCCAGTGCCTACAAGCACTGTCACCAAAATTGGTGTTTATTCAGAATATACACAGATAGATAATACTGAATTTTCTACAAAGCCACTGAAATTATTATTAGGCTCCTCATTGCTCTGAAGGTGCAGATATAAAATAACTTAAAAAATATTACCAACACATTTATATATATATATTTATAAATGAATTATAAAGTGCTTTTTCATTGACCATTGAAATACTATTAGAGGGAAGTTAGTTTTACTTTGCATATTAGATGATACCTAAAGGTTGTGATTTGCTTGAGGTCACACAGATAATATATAGGAAATTTGATATTTACTCCTAAATCTATTTAATTTTATTTTATTTGTCCAACAAACATTGGTACAATATGAAATATTTTCTTGATGGTTTAATGGTCTATTAACACTATTGTATTTGTTGTTCTTAAGAAAACTTTCAGGTTCTATTGGAATGGCTGGAGACTAGAGTATTTGATTTTGATGTTCGATACTTAAACTCACATTTTGAGGTTTCAGTCAGCTGAAGAGTAAAAGCACATCCTTAGAAAAAGAAAAGACTGAATCCGTTTTGAGGATGAATGAACAAATCTATATGTTTTAACCTATAGGTTTTTGGATGATAAGCAAGATGATTTGGTGAAAATTAGGCTCTTGAAGGAAAACAGGAGCAGTTCCTAAAAATTTTCAAAACTTAAAAATTTGTGAAATGGGTAATTAAGGCATATTTCTAGCTGTGCCCTGATTAAGCCTCCAGATGATTCTGAATATACACTGTAGCAGAACAGTTGCTTCTAGTTGTATTAAACTCATTACTAATGTGGTAGTGGTTTTAGACTTCTTCCAGTGAATCTTATGTTAGTACCAGTTTTCAAAACAGTATGTATTATCTCATTTATTTAAAGACAAACTGAGGCTCAGGGAGGCCACCCAGCTGACTAATTTCTGCCATGTTGATCTTACACTGTTAATGTAAATTATTTTGAGTTTGAATAGCTGCTCAGTCACTGTGGAACAGATTGCTTGCCTGGGATCTCTAGAAGTTCTTGAAGGTAATAAAAAGGGACTCTTTTGAGTTCTTTGTTTTAAAATTCTGAGTAAGACTTGTGGATTTATCCTGTTAGTAATGCTGCACAACCCAGTCAGGATCATTTATGTACTTCTGGCTGGCATCACTTTAGTTCAGTAAGAGATTATTGGCCTCATGATTGATAGTTAAATGATTAAATAGAATTTATATGAAGTTTAGCAGGCAGATTTTGAACATGGGATCCGTTTGTGTACAATAAAGTGTCCTTGCCAAGGTAGTAAAAGTATAAGAAATAATAGATCCTTTAGGATACCTTAAAATACAGTTAGGTTTCCTCTTCAATATGGAAGCTTAATCATTCCAGCCAGATGCTCAGCTCACTTTGGCTTGGCTTTTTTCACTTATTAATCAGTTTGAATTATTTTTCTTTATATATAGTCAGTAAGTTTGAAAGGGCTTCCCTGTTGGCTCAGATGGTAAAGAATCCGCCTGCAGTGCAGGAGACCCAGGTTTGTCCCTGGGTCGGGAAGATTGCCTGGAGAAGGGAATGGCAACCCACTCCAGCATTCTTGCCTGGAGAATTCCATGGACACAGGAGCCTGGTGGGCTACAGCCTGTGGGATTGCAAAGAGTCAGACACGACTAAGCGACTGACGCAAGCTTGAAAAGATATCTTAAACCCCATAAATGTTATACCATGCATATTGTAGAATGCAGACTGTGCTACAGCAAATGTTAAGTGGCCTTGGCATTGTGATTGTGGTGCCTTGTTGAGATTGCATCTTTAGTAAGAACTGTTTATTAAACTTACTGTCATAAAAAAGTCAGTATGGAAAATAAAGGGTGGAGAAGGAAGTGGCAACCCACTCCAGTGTTCTTGCCTGGAGAATCCCAGGGATGGGGTCGCACAGAGTCGGACATGACTGAAGTGACTTAGCAGTAAAGTCTACTACTACTTTATTTAGAGGATAGGTGTAAGTGAGAGCAGGAGAGAGTGGGGTAGACACGCCTGTCCCTGCTTTCCTCATCCCATCTGGACCCTTCTTTGCCCTGGAATCTATTCCTCCCTTTCCCCAGCAGTCTATTTATTAACTAGCAAGAGGGCAAATAAGGGATCTTCTAGGATTGATTTTGCTAATTTTTTTGAGGATACCGAGCACCATTTCACCATATTCTGTACCCTTATCTGACAATCCCTCCCAGAACTGAGTTTTCTTTTCATCCAGGGTTCAGAAGGAAAAACAAAAAACAAATCATATCATCAAGCACCAATAAAAAGTAAGCTGTCCAGATGGAAATAAAATCTAATTAGGCAATTAAAAAAAAAAAGAAAAATAAAGGGGTGCTAGGAGCATCTTCTTGAATGTTGGTAAAAGTTTAAAAAAACCTCTGTCCAGATAAATGCTCACATATTACAAATTTAACTGATAATTTCAAGGATGTTACGGGCCTCAAGTGCCGCAGGTAAAGAACACTGGATACTGACAATTAGGAGGAGAAATTATGTTTATTTTATTAATCCCATCCTCCTAATATACCCTTGTTATTAAAATAATCAGGACTTTCTCTTTGGCCCTTTTGACTAGAGCGTAAAATGTGACTGAATGTGCAAGCAAACTGACATAATTTTAGTTTGTATCTTTTGATACATTTGGATTGTGTGCTCAGTTGTGCTTTCATATATTGGTTCAACTTTTCCTTAAGGAGAACATTGTTTTCATTTTATAGATTGGATAAAGTATAAAAGAACATTGGAAATGACTAATATCAATGTTGAAAAAAATAAAAATGAGTACTATTCTCATTTCCCTATTGCTTTGTTCGTTTGCCTTTAAAGTAGTTTGTGATAATATATGTTAATCGTTCAGACTTTTTTTTTTCTCTTAAGGACACTTTGATTGTGTGGTCTGAAGCAGAAAATTATGACTTGGCCCTCAGCTTTCAAGAAAAAGCTGGATGTGATGAAATTTGGGAGAAGATATGTCAGGTAATTTAAAATTAGAAAATTAACATGCTTTCATTTTAAGCATTTTGTTTTTTGCTGTGCTTTAAGCTAATGCCTCATATTTTAAAATGCATAGAGACACATTTCATATAGATTAGTGCTGTCTGTGAAAAACTTGATTTATAGGAAAGCACAGTTTATTGACACCAGCATACCCAGTCCAGACCTCTGCTGAACTCCAGAGTTCTATGTTCACCTGTCTTTCAGAGCTGTCCTCCATGAGTGCTACTAGCGTCTCAGATTCAGTAGTCTAAAACTGAGCATAGTCTCACCGAGGTTTGTTCATTCTCCTGTCTCTCTCATCTCAGTAAATGCCATTCAGTTGCTGAAGTCAGAAACATGGTTATTCTTCCTTCATCCTCTCTGTCCATTCAGTCCTTAAACTCTTAAGTCTTCAGTGCGTTCATTTACCTTCATTTTCACTGCTGTTGGTTTACTAAGCTACCATCATTTCTTGCTTGGTTTATTGCATTCATCCCAGATCTACACAGCTAGAGTATCTTTTTTGAAATGGAAGTCTGATCATCTTACTCTTTGTTCAGTAACATCTTGTGACTCTTGACTGTCTCTTCAGTTTCATCATTTTTGTTCTCAATTGATTCTAGAATTCCTTAGTGGTTCTAGTACCTCAGTCTAGTGGTAATATCTCCACAATCTTTTGTGAATGGTCATTGATAATGCACTCTAGTGGCTCAAGCTGTTTTTTTCTTATTAAAGACTCATGTAGACCATTGTATCCTAAGGATACTTTATCTTCACATTTATTTTATCTGGAGAAGAAATAACTTTCAGCAGATTCTTTAGTTCATTGGTTCTCAAGGTGTGATCTAGCAGGATGAGCGTGACCAGGGTGGGATCTGATAGAAATGCAAATTATGAGACCTCCTTCCCAGATCTGCTGAATTAGAAACTCTTTGAGTAGGTACCAGTAATTCTGTTTTAGGTAGGTACCAGTTTTAATAAACCTCTGGATCAGATTTTTTCTGTTTAAAGGGCAAGGTAGTAAATATTTTAGGCTTTGTATACTACACTGTTTAACTAATGTCTAGCTACTCAGTTCTGCTGTTGTACTGAGAAAGTAGTCATAGACAACAAACAAAACGAACATCGTTCTCTTCCCAGTAAAATTTTATTTAACAGGTAGTGGGCCAGGTTTGGCAGTTGTTTGTCAGTGCCTGCTTCAGGTGACTCTGGTGAACCATGACATTTGAGAGCTACTACCTTAATAGACTATGGAAGCCTCTGTTCTTGAGACACAGGTTTTCCTTAATTTGCAAAGTTTATTTCTGCTATATCATTCTACTCAGTTGTGTTTCATAAATTAACCTGTTTAGTTGTCCCTTTCCTTCTCTTAACAGGTGAAAAACTTAACATATATGTATTTATGCCGTCTTCATGTTTTCTTTGTTTTCTGCCCCATGCAGTTGTTTTTACAGCATATTCCTCTAGATTTTGTCATTTGTAGTTCTCCTGTAGAAAGAGATGAAATTGATGAGCTCAGGGTGGTGCTGAAAGTATCTGTTATTCATACAAATCTTGTTTCCTCTTCACTTTCCTGAGATGAACAGTCCCACCCTGCACACAGTCTTTTATTAGGCTAGTATTTAACTCAGACCTGGACTCAGTCTGTTACTGTCGGACCTGGGTCTTCTTTAAAATTCTCAGACATTTATTATACTTTTTGTTAGTCTGTAACACCATAAATTCTTCATTTTCTCTTGGGACACTAGTAGTACTTGTATACTTCTCTCTATAGTAACATTCCTGGGAATCATGCCTACTTTGTTGTTCTTTTCTGATATAGTTAAATAGTTCATGTTCAAAGTGTCATTTCTCAATGACTTTTATGATCCTGATTGCACATCTTTTACGGTCTTCACATTCTCATTTTCTTTATATCCAGATACCGTCTTCACATTCTCATTTTCTTTATATCCAGATTGACTTCTGAGATTTATCCTTTCTCCAGGAAAGCTCTTTCTTCTAGCTTAGCCTTATTTCCTTTTTAAATTTTAATTCTAAAATTGCTTCTGTTCTGAAAGCAAGACTGAAACATACTTGTCAAATATTAGAATTTCACCTTGTTTCTGAAACACAGGTCAGATTCCGAAACACAGGTCAGATTCCGAAACACAGATCAGATTCCGAAACACAGATCAGATTCCAAAACACAGCTCTTTTGGATTACCTGCCGAGTCTTCATATTTGCGAGTTCACTCAAGAAGATATCATTTTCAGTACAATTACAGGCTCTCATCCCTTTTCATTTGATTTTGTAATCAGATGCCTACCATGTTTCTATAGGTAAAGCCATAGCTTGAATATTAGGAGTCTAAAGCTGTGGTGAGACCTTGTGTAATTTCAAAAATCCAGAGCCAACTTGAGACCATGCCAGGTACAAGCTGTGAATGTGCCTGGCCTCCTTTTAGAGGTTCTGCCCACTGGATTAAGGTCAAGATGGTGTCACCTTGCAGCATATTTCAAGACTTAGTCCAGGTCTTCTTCCCTTCTGATACTCATCAACATCTCTTGACCATTCTAAGCAACTTAAGTTTGTTCGTCATTTCACATGAGGCTTATTTTTTCCATCCCTTTGCCATTCAGTTCGGCCTTTTGAGCTGGTTTAATACCAGTGTCAGATTATAGGGCCAAGAGAGCACAACTCATCTCATTCCAAAATAATTTTGTCTTTGGCCTTTTGTAAAAAGTTTCTTTTACCTTAAATTATATTTAATTATGAAGACTTATAAGTTAGTTTTTTATAACTAGAGTCCCTACACTGACATAAGGTTGGGATTTATGACAAACTTTAGAGCTTCTCGGGGATCATGAAAGGTAAAGGTTTGGATGTGTAGAAAGGAAAACTTCATGGTTTGGTTACTTAACTTTAAGCAGGTATTCTCAGGGCATAGCTCTACTACATATAGGTTGCGTTCCTTTTTGTGTGGTTTTATTTTTATGTGGGTGCACTTGTTCCCAGCTCAGTTGTTCTGAATCATATTTTTGGGCTACCAACCAGCATATTTATACCAGATTGGTCCAAAGCCAGTTTGTATGTGCTCCTTCCTTGGTTTCTAAATTAACTGATATTAAATATTTTTCTTATTGACATAGTTTCTATGGTCACAGCATTTGTTTGAATTTTACTTAAACTTTAAAGAGTTTAATGGATGTACCATAGCATAATGCTAGGAATGTTTCTGGGGTTTGCCCTGGTCTGTTGATGAATGGGTGTTTTACCATCAGGCCTCTTTGTTATGGGTCTGCAGGGCACTCTTTTTTTGTTGTTTTGTTTTGGTTTTTTTCTGCAGGGCACTCTTAAGTTTAACAGTCACCGATACTTTACTGGATCTTAGAATGTTTCCATTGCTAATAAACCTTGTACTTATGAGGAAGTTCATTACATTTCTGAACTTTGAACTTCCTTCCTTAAAATCAAAGGTGTGTATTATTTATAGAAATGTGCTTAGAAAAGCAGGCATTTGTGTCAAGTTTGAAGAAAGTTCTAGAAAATCATCATTAGACTTTGGTTATACGTTTCTTATAGCTAAGAATATCATTTAGATTTGCTTTGATTATACTTCTTCAGCTATTACAAATATTGTTTTATAGGTTCAAGGAAAGGACCCATCAGTGGACATCACTCAGGACCTTGTAGATGAGTCTGAAGAGGAGCGTTTCGATGATATGTCATCACCAGGTTTAGAATTGCCATCTTGTGAATTAAGTCGTCTTGAGGAAATTGCAGAACTTGTGGCATCATCCTTACCTTCTCCCCTGCGTCGTGAAAAACTTGCACTAGCACTGGAAAATGAGGGTTATATTAAAAAGCTCTTAGAGCTTTTTCATGTGTGTGAGGATTTGGAAAATGTTGAAGGACTGCACCACTTGTATGAAATTATCAAAGGCATCTTCCTCTTGAATCGAACTGCTCTTTTTGAAGTTATGTTCTCTGAGGAATGTATAATGGACGTCATTGGATGCTTAGAATATGATCCTGCTTTATCACAACCACGAAAACATAGGGAATTTCTAACAAAAACAGCCAAGTTTAAAGAAGTGATTCCCATATCAGATCCTGAGTTGAAACAAAAAATTCATCAGACATACCGAGTTCAGTATATACAAGATATGGTTCTACCTACCCCTTCAGTCTTCGAAGAAAATATGTTATCAACACTTCACTCCTTTATTTTTTTCAATAAGGTAGAAATTGTTGGTATGTTACAGGTAAGTTAGATCATTCTTTATTTTTTTTTTTTCCTGCTTAAAAAGAGGCGCAATCAGCAAAAATTTTCTGTTCCTTTAGGCACATAAATCGAATTTTATTTTTTATTTAAAGGTATTTGATGATATTGCAAAAATTATATAAAGCAAAAATTTTCTGTTCCTTTAGGCACATAAATTGAATTTTATTTTTTGTTTAAAGGTATTTGATGATATTGCAAGAAATTATATAATACTGTGGGACACAGAAGGTTGTGTTTGGATTAAGGATAATAAAGGTGATTTTTTAAAAAATCTAGCTCAGAGAAATTATAGGGAAAGGATCTTAATGAAACAATTGAATGTAGAATTTTAGGGATATTAAACTATCAATTAGGCATAAAACTGAATAGATTAGAACAGGAAAGAAAAAATAGAAGCCAAGAAATATATCATTAAATATAGAATACAAATTCTATAATATTTGGAGAACTCGGGGGTAATTATTTACTAAAGGTCTAGCTTTAGGGTCAGGAGAATATAGAAGAGGTTGGCAGGTTACAGCTGCCTGTTTCCCTACCAAAAGGCATGCTTTTGTAATGGTTGAGAGTGTGGGGGAGGTTAGACTTGTATTTGAGTTTCAGCTCTGCCTGCCACTTAATAGCTGTGTGACTTGGGCAACTTTCTTAATCTCTTAAAAGCTTCAGCTTCTTAATTTTAAGGTTGGTGATATTAGTATTTACCTTATAAGGTCATCTGAAGATTAAATAAGATGGATGCTTGTAAAGCATTGAACATGATACACGACTCGAGTATTATTTTAAATATCTATTAATCGCCTATTAAACCTAAACTCCAAATTTTCTTTTTATAGTATGCCCAGTCTCTCAGGGGTGGTGTGTTAGGGTGCTTGCATCAGAACTACCTAGGATGCATCCTGGATTCTGCACAAAACCCACAATCCAGATCTCTGAGCTGGCTGGTAATCTGCATTTGTAGCAGCCTGGAAGTCAAGAGAATCTCTCAGTAAATGATCCCATGGCGCATGACTTAGTCTAGTCCAGCTGAGACACGCCTTCACGGTGTCAAGACGTGTGAGCTGCACACCCTGTGTGCTTTGATCCCACCCAGAATCCTGGGACAGTAACACATATGCGATGGGATTGGAGAGCTCTTAAGACCTCACCCCAGATCTACAGATAGAACAGTTATTTGGAACCTGAATTTGCTATGTTAAAAAACGAAGCGAATAAATGTCAGCAAGAGCTGCTTGGTAGCATATGTTATGAATAAAACTGTAAATTTAATTTTTGTCTATTCCTTTTTAGAAAATTGCTGTATTTTCAGTGATCCTGGTTTTGTTGTTATATATATATATATATATGATACATACATACACATATATGTGAATTCAAATAGAAAGGTCAGTTTTACCAAAACTGCTTTTCTGAAGCTAGTGATAAGCCCAGTTGACGTTGACTAATTTGACCTATTTTTCATTCAATACAAATAATACAAGCAATACAATTTGGTAACTACAACAGTATTCCTCTACATAGTGTATTGTGATTGATAATGGAAGAAGAAGGGTTCTGGTACTAATGTTCATTTGTTCTTTGATAAGGAACTAGTTTTTGCTAGCTACCTAACAGATCCTTTGTTCTGGTATAGTTTTGATTCCTGGTTTCCTTGGATAGTCCTAAGTGCTATTGGTCCTTTTATTTAGCTCCACATAGTTCTCGTTTGTTTTGTTTCACAGGGATCTGTCACTTGTTTTTCTTGGTCTTCAGACCAGTAAAATGCCAGTTTTACTCATTAAGTATGAATAATTTCAAGTTAAGTTTTGTTTCCCTGCAGTATGCTCTGTAAAATGCTGACTGCCAGTGCTGTAGTCCTTCTGTTCTCTTGTTGCTGAGCATTTATATCCAAAGTGCTGCTGTGAAGAAAGAAGAGTTTTATGAATTTTTTTGACAAGGAGTAATTAAAGCAGGTTCTTACCCACCTTGTACATGGTCATAAGCCTTACCATTGACTGGTTATATTCTGTGTAATACTGTGGAGCATTCTTAATTCTCTATACTTCACAGCAGTGCAGAGATTGTTTTTTAATCATTAGATTTTTATTTGGGATATATCTGAAGTGGATCTTGATATTGGAGGCCATTTGAGGTATGGCGTATGTACTGTAGAAGTAAAGGTGGGAATAACTAGTATCACAGAATGTTTCTTGAGCACTTGCAGCAGTGAACATGGGGTTTATAAACTAATGGGAGATGACTCAGGCATGACTGTAGGGCATGTGTTATTGAATTTACTTCTACTTGATGTGGTAGTAGGGAATTAAAATTTTAACTAGTGGCAGAAAAAAATTGAACAAGCAGTCAGGAAGTTTCTACCCACCTCCCTGCTAACTGTGATTGGGCTTTGGGCAAATTTCTTAATCGTGTCTCAATTATAAAGAGGCAAGAATAGGACAACATATGTTATTTCCAAGTTCTGTACTCTTAACTTTCACATGCTCAGATTAGTATCCTATAAGAGTATCATTTGATTCATTTTCAGAATAATTTGGTTATGTGTTAAATTATTGTGTATGTGGAAATCTTTAAATAATATTTCTTTAAAAGTTTTGAATTTAGCTTTTTAAGTAATTGAATAATTTCTGTTTTTAAAATGTGAAGGAAGACTTATCTTCATTTGAGAGGTTATAGAACCTTAACTTCTAAGGTTAAGGTTATGAAACCCTATGAAAATGATGAGTGTATAAACCATGTTTGTTTTTGTAAATAAAGTTCTATCTAAACACAGCCATACCCATTCACTGACATTGCCTATGGTCGCTTCCTGCCATAACAGTGGAATTGAGTAGCTGTGGTAGAGAATGCAAAACCTAAAATATTTATAATGTGGCCCTTAAATAGACAGGAAATAGAACCTTGCCGAAATACAAAGGATATCCTTATAAATCCCCAATTTATTCTTTAATAGTGTTTTTTACTTTTCTTTTAAAAAACAGCATTGCCAATACCATCTCCCCTTTTCTAGTTATTACAATTTATATCTTCTATAATAACATCTTAAAAGTATATTCTTACTATTAGCATAATTAAATTTATCCTTTGATTTCACAGGAAGATGAAAAATTTCTGACAGATTTGTTTGCACAACTAACAGATGAAGCAACAGATGAGGAAAAAAGACAAGAGTTGGTAAGAAATTTGATATTATGAAGGGCATGAAACTCAAACAACATACCTTTTATAATTACTTACCTTTTTTCTTAATTTCAGGTTAACTTTTTAAAAGAATTTTGTGCATTCTCCCAAACGCTACAACCTCAAAACAGAGATGCTTTTTTCAAGACTTTGTCAAACATGGGTATATTACCAGCTTTAGAAGTCATCCTTGTAAGTTTATTTCTCCTTATACTTAGTCATTATATTTTTAATCCACAAAATACTGTATTTTTTATGTAACATGCAACTATTTGATTATAGCCAGTATTTAATATCAGTTGAGTATTACATAAAGTTAAAAAGCTATAAAGTCCTAGTATTAGATAGCCTGTAACACAGTATTGAAAGGACACTCACAGGAATTTTCCATATTTTTAATAATTTGTTAACTTTGCAGCCTATTCATTGAAATGTTAAAGTAGAAAAATAAATAGGAATAGAAAGTATAACTATCCATAGAACAAGAACTTTACATATGGCAGAATTTCCTTGACCTCCCTTTTTAAATTATTATTATTAGATTTTGGATTTATATAGCTGCAAGTTTCATGTTTTTATTATAGGAGAAATAAGTGGTTTTTATCTGCAGGGCATGGATGATACACAGGTGCGAAGCGCTGCTACTGATATATTCTCATACTTGGTTGAATATAATCCATCCATGGTACGAGAGTTTGTCATGCAGGAGGCACAACAGAATGATGATGTAAGTAAGAAGTTAACAGAGCAAAAAATAACCAACAAGGTAAATATTATTTGCGCTAACAGTAAGTATTTATACATGGGGAGCTTTAACTATATGATTCATTTCTTAAAGATTTAAATAATTAATGTTTGAGAAAAGTGTAGCCATAATACCATGACTTATTCTCCTAAATTTGCTCCTGTCTCAGTCTATAAATTGTCTTACAGCAGTTATTTGATAATGCTCAACTTAAATTTCTTTCTAAGTTTTTGAGATGAAGTTTCTTAATTCTGAAATAACCTGCTGTGTTGTGTTGTTTAAATCATTTAGTCAATAAATCGTTCTTCTCTTCGTGGAATTATGAATAATTTCCTGATGAAAACATTGGTTTTGTTAGGGAGAGAGTCTCAATAGCAGTAAGGATGATGAGGCATGCACACACACCCCACCTCCATCTCCTGTAACACCTGTCAATTTCAGAGTCAGTGAGAGTGTATCCTGGTGATGTGAAAGGTGCTTCCAGAGTCTGTGGTACCTGGTGTGTCTGGAAGCACTAAGTGTGTGTGCTCTCTTTTCAGATAATTAAACCAATGATCCTGAGTTTTTACTTCCTCCTTCCCCTATAAAATCTTGAAAGTACTTTGTTACTTAAAAATACTATCCTGCCCTGATTTCCTTCTTAAGGGATGAGGTTAAAAAAAAACACCTCTTAGAAAAAACATATATGCAGAATTCCAGCTTATCGTATTTTTACAAAATAGAAAATACTTTATACTTTTTAAAAAGATCTTAATGTGTTGTGATGTCAAAATGAAGTGGAATGCCTAGAAACTTGTATATTTAATAATTTTACAAGAAAATTATAATGTCAGGGTAGGTGCAGGAAATGCCAGATTGAACTGTTTAATATTATATTTTGCTTTTATAAAATAGTCCTATCTTGAAAACCTAAATATATAGGTTTTTTAAGGCCTATTGTTGTTAGCCCTGTAAGCCACTAGTTGAACACATATCGGTGTACTTTATTCATGTGCTGTAGTCTTGATGCCCAGTCTTGAATATCATTTCCATATACTGTCTGCATTTTCTCCTTGTCAGTCCTACTACTGCATATATAGGCATGAGCGGAGATTTTCTCACTGAATCCCTCAGTTTTTATTTACTATATTAGCCACGAAAACCAATCATAGTAGAGCATCAGGAAAACTAACAGTTTTCTGTGTCATTTGTTCTCCTGTGTGCTCTCTAAATAACACAATCCTATTTCCTCCAATTTGAGACATTTAGGTATCAGCTATTTTTTCCTTAAATTTATTTTAAACGGAAACTTTACATCATTTCCATAAATGGAGAACAGATACAGTTAGTATTTGCCATAAATAGAAGGAATCTATAGCAGTGAAAGAAAAATAGTATAAATTCTAGCTAAACATTCTTTTAATCAAGAGGATTTAAAGATAATAGAAAAAGGAACTTTCTTTTTGTTTTGGTACTGTTTGTGTAATGTGCCTATACCATACTTAGGGAAACTGCTCACTATCCTATCCTATTAAATCAGTCAAGTATTTGGTTTGCAGTTGACAAAATATGGGTGTAATACAGTAGCATATGTCATAGTATGTATTCTTTCCATTCTCTCCTATAATAAGTGATCCTTATTATGTGCATTTTTTTCAACAGGATATTTTGCTCATCAACCTCATCATAGAACATATGATTTGTGATACAGACCCTGAACTTGGAGGAGCAGTCCAGCTTATGGGCCTGCTTCGAACATTAGTTGATCCAGAAAACATGTTGGCTACTGCCAATGTAAGCCATGGGCATTTTTCTCTTTTTCATGCTAGTATAATTTTTATTGCGGGTAGGAACCAGTGCAGTTAAAGTTCATGAAAGTGTTTTTGATTCCTTAGAAAACAGAAAAGACTGAATTTCTGGGTTTCTTCTACAAGCACTGTATGCATGTCCTTACTGCTCCCTTACTGGCAAATACAACTGAAGACAAACCTAGCAAAGGTAAGATAATATAGTTTGGTAGTTAAGTTCTTTATTCTTGAATTCTGAAACTCAAAAAGTTGGTGTTAATATGTATTAGTCGCTCAGTCGTTTCCAACTCTTTGTGACCCCATGGACTGTATGTAGTCTCAGGTTCCTCTGTTCATGGAATTCTCCAGGCAAGAATACTGGAGTCGGGTAGCCATTCCCTTCTCCAGGGGATCTTCCCAACCCAGGGAACAAACCCAGGTCTCCTGCATTGTAGGCAGATTGTTTACCACCTGAGCCACCAGGAGGTCTACTAATATATTTTCAAAACAGGTAATGTCAAGATAAATTTCTTTTTTTAAAATGTTATAATCAGACATAGTAGAACTGTGAAAGAAGATACCAGAGATAATTTGTTGCCCTCAGAGTTTTAGAACAATTTTTTTTGTTAAAGCAGTATTTGTTTAGTTTGCATTTACATATGTGAAACAAATGGAAGTAATTATTAGAGGATTGATTTTAAGTTATTTGTACTTCAGATGTGTAGATAGAGCAAAGCTTGTGCTCAGTATTAAACTTTTTTTTTGGCACTGAGGATTATTCCAACTTAGGAATATTTATTTCTGCATTTTATTCCTTTAGCCTGTGTGTGTGTGTGTGTGTGTGTGTGTGAGATTTAGAAAATAACAGTAGCTTTAGGGTCTACGTTGAGAAATTCCTTATTGAAGCTTTGACAATAAATAATTTTGTCATATAAGTTAAATATGCTATATTGATAATTCATAATACCACTTAGAAAATAAATGTTAAATTTACACTTTTTTATGACTCTGGAAGTAAGTCTTAGGAACACAATATATAGTAGGTAAATCTTGAGGCTTCCTTCCAAACCTACATGTTTAGTTCATCAAACATTTATTGAGAGCCCTCTGTGGGAAAGGCACTGTGCTAATCTTTAGGGGTTAAATGAAGGAAATAAAAAAAAAATGTGTAAAATACTTTTGGAGGCTTGCTGCCTGGTGAGGAAGATAAACCAGTGATTAGATTATAATGCAGGGTGGACTCAGTAACATGGAGTAAAAGGATGTGCACATCAAGCACACGAATCAAAGGAGCAGAGAGAGTAGTTCATTAAAGCTGGATGATGTCTGGTAGGACCTCCTGTGATCTGCATCTGCTGAGGGACATGCTGAAAAACATGGTAGAGCATTCTCACGCTTCGGAATAAAGCAGATCTAATAGATTTGTATCCCAGTTGCCTTACTAATAACATTTCACACCTGGGTCTTATGACACTAATACTTCAGAGTTGTTCAAATTAAATGTGAAAAAATGGAAAGCACAGTTCTTGGCACATGGTAGGCATTCAGTAAATGCTAAGTTTCCTTTTCCTTAATTTGAACGTATTTGGGTTAATAGAAAGGATTTTATTTGATTGAAATTTGGGGAAAAAATTAATATGAGCCATTAAGTATAATTGTGTTTTGTTCAGATGATTTTCAGACTGCCCAGTTGTTGGCATTGGTATTGGAATTGTTAACATTTTGTGTGGAGCACCATACCTACCACATAAAGAACTACATTATTAACAAGGACATCCTCCGGAGAGTGCTGGTTCTTATGGCCTCGAAGCATGCTTTCTTGGCATTGTGTAAGTGTTGCTTCTGCTGGATTACTTACTGTCTCTGTAATATTGTGTCATCTTTCAGTCTTGTTGCCTGAGAAGAAAAGATCACTGATTTCAGGAAACCTAGGTTCTAATACTAAACTACACTGATAATGTACTTTTGCCACATTTTGAATGGTGATTTTCCCGATTCTTCTCTCAGTGTACAGTAAAGATGTTAGAGTATCGCTACAAAATATATTAAGGTATTTATTATATTATTAAAATGACACCTTAAATCATTTTAGTACCTTATTTATTTTTTACTTAATACATATGGCATGACAGTCACAAATTAGACACTCTTGTGAGACTAGAGTCTCACACTGTCACAAAGAATATATTCGTAATTTGGAAAACATAGCTAATAGCACTGAGTTTCCAAAATGTGTTTTTTTCTAAGTTACAGACTGTCTAGCACAAATGTCTACAGATGGTCCATTCATTAATTCCACAAATGTTTTCCCCTTTGATTTATTGAGACATATTTGAGATATTACATTGTGTTATCTCATATAGGGTAACAAACCACAGCTGTGGCCAAATCCAGTCCATGGTCTGTTTTGCACAATTTGCAAGCTGAAAAAAATAGTTTTATGTTTTTAAAGCATTGTTTAAATAATTTTTTAAAAAAGCTACAGAGACCATATGTGCCCACAAAGCCTAGAATATGTATTCTGTAGACCTTTATGAGAAAGGTTTATCAACTCTTAGAGCAACAACAGTCTTTTAACAAGGCTGTTCTAGTTATACGTTTTTCAAAAATTGACTTTCACTGTATTCATAAGACCCTAGTTTACTGAAGTGAAACATGTTTCTGAATTATAATAGATTAATCTAGAATATTCTTGTAGCAGTCAGCCTTCTTTAGTAAGTTGGCACACCAATTTTAGGGTACACTAGAGGCTCAATAAGAGATGTTTGTTGGTATCTCTTTTGGTCTTTTGGTTTTTATGGGTAAGTTTGGTTTTGTTGGTATATAAAGGCATTGTAATTTTTAAAAAAAAAGGCACTGTAATCATCCACTAGTTAGAGGCCTGAACATAAACATCTGTTTTTGCTATCTTTTTTCACTTTCATTTTAAACTACTTTGGGAATTCCCTGGTAATCCAGTGGTTAGGACTCCACACTTTCATTGCAAAGGGCACATGGGTTCAATACCTGGTTGGGGAGTCAAGATCCCAGAAGCCATGTGGTATGGCCAAAAAAAAAGGTTTTGCTTAATTAATTTTTAAAATATGGTTAAATTTTAAAATGTTGTTATAAGGATACTCCTGATGTTAACTTACAGTGTCAACATTTTATCTTTAAAACAGTATTAAAAATAGAAAGATTTCCTTCTAAGAAAAATTCATTAAACTTTCAGGGTGACAGTTGTTACAGCTGAATTATCTAGTATACATTCTGCAATATGTACTGAGAACATATGTGGTCAGATCTTTTTCAGCCAAAAGGAATATAGTACATGTAAAGAAGGGCTTTTAAACTCATACTCATTTTCCTTATAAACCTATCACAGGAAAAGTGAGAGTCCCAAAGCAAGTTGAGAGGAAGTTAATAAACACCTCTTTGAATTGTTCTTTCACATCTGGAAGGTCTTATTTCAGTTTGGGAAAGGGAGTTTCAGCAGATGGGACAGAATGGAAAAACTGAATGAGTAAATTAATTAGTTTTGTTTCAGTAAATTTAACACCTATTACCATGTTTTATTGATTCTAAGATATGTATTGATACTCATATCGAGTCTTAAAATTAATGACATGTTGTGATTAGTAGTTTTTTTGTTTTGTTTCCTCTGTAGTAGAAAAGGTTTTTTGTAATCCGTGGCATCTTAGATTTGATGGAGGATGGTACATACCTGGTATTAGGAAAAAGATGATTAAGACCTAGACTCAGCTGTCAGTTGGCTCAGAGTTCATTAGGAGGAGATAAAACCAAAACAACAGCATTATATCAAGGTGTTTTTGGATGTATAGTGAAAATGACTTATTCCACCTGAATGAATCTTGCAAATATGAGTGAAATAAGTTGTGTCTTGATCATGAGAGAGGGTGACATTCTTGGTTGAATACATGATTCAGATGAACAAATGTTAAGTGTGATGTGTTAGTGGTTTGGTATAGATGGAATATGTGAGTCAAGTGGAAGAGTGGCAGAAAAGGAAAGGCCTTTTCTTTAGTCCTTCATCTTGTTATTTCGCTTAGAGTACTGCAAAGAAAAATGTCTCACAGTTTGATGAGAACTATGAGGAGAACCAATGAGTCTGTATTATAGGAAACTAAGCATGCTCGCAAAAATCTAAGTTTTGTTTTATTATTGTTAATATTTTCCAAACTAAGGCTATCATTGATTAAACCTTACTCTTTCTCAAATAATTCTCAGTGTGGCTCTTTCCAGGATTGAGAATGAGTAGCTTCTAAAAGAAGATGCCAGTCATTAGGAATGCATCCTTGAGAACTGTCTATACAGTAGGAATTTTTATCAAGAATTTCTAAAAGAGTTAGCATAAATTTGAGATTTAAGGTGTTTTCAGTCTTAGAATATATTGAAATATTAAGTATGGTTTGTTTGTTTTTTAAGGGAGGTTTTATAAGTAAATTTAGATGCCCATTTGTAAAGACATAGATTGCTTAAATTTTGAGGACTTTGCATTTTTTATATCTGCTGGCTCTTATTTTTTTCCTTATATTTAAAGACAACATAAATCTGTGGGTGAGAACAGCAATTCTTATCTAGTCCTTATACATTAGACATGTTTGTGTGAGTATACACACATATACACACCAGTTTTATCAGTCTTGGCCTTTTCCAGATTCTTGGATTTTACACTGTAGCTTTTTAGCTCATACCTTTATGTTATCTGATTGTTTTTATTTAAAATATGAAAATCTATATGAAGAATGAAGTAAAGAAAATTTTCGTGGTAGATGATTTAGTCAACTATCATTAGTTACATGTGAGGCAAAAAGTTTCAAACTTACATAAGATATCATGTTGTATAAGGTAAGATTTATTATTTCAGAGATGATTAACACTGAGCGTTAAGAGATCCCTGGCATGCTAATACAGGTTAGAGATGTGAGTGGAAGCACAGTGCCACTTGTACATTGAAAACCTTATAGCTGTGCTGATTGGACTTACCCCAAAAGCTTTCTCTACTCTGCTTTGAGCAGCTTGACTTCATAGAACTCACTGGTAAATTTTTAAAAGTAAGTTTTCATTCAAGAGCAAGAATAGTGTTCGGATATTTTTCATGCAGGTTTCTTTTTGGGGAGAGGTATGGGTGGAAATAACACAATTCTTAATATAAATACATAAGGGCAAATGAGGAGCAAAACAAAAAAGCCCATTAGAATCATTCTATCCACCTTAGCAGTTTCTGAACAAAACTGCTGTTGAGGAGATGGCAGTGGCACCATCTGCATACTCTGTCTTAGTGAATTCTAGGAAGGGAGTTCTTTTCATTTACCCAGGAAATGCATGCAGACCACGGGGTTTAGCTAGTGTGTGTTATGGTAGGACACAAGTCTCCAAAAAGCCTGCAAAGTTGGAGTAACAATTTTTAAAATAATAACACTTGCCTTAATTACTAAAAGCTTAAAATTTGGCCTATTAGCATGAGTTCTGATTTTTATTCTGACAAATGGGACTGCCTAAGTTCCTCTGTCAAGCAACATTTTAAAAAAGGCTCTCAAAACTCATTGTTAGGCTTTGACTTATTATCACAAAGAAAGATGACACTTATTGTTTAAAATGTTTTATTTCACCATGCTTTTGTATTTGAAAATATTCAGTAGTTTAAAAATACTTTTAAACTATTTTGAACTCCCTGCCCAGTGTTTCTCTTTAGTAAGAGACACTCTTAACTAAGCTGGATTGTTAAGGCAGTTTATACTTAACTGTACCTAGTTGGGCATTCACTTGTGGACCTCTTTTCTGCCAACTAAAGAAAAATTGAGCTGCTTTACTCCTCTGCCTTCCTACCCAGAAACCGTGTCAGCATGGTTGCCTGGCTACCTGCTCATGAAGGACTTGATTAATAACAAATTGGCAATTTAACGAGCCACTTCCATGATCTCCAAAGAAACCAAAATACAAACACAATATTTAATCTTGCCAACCGAAGACGATGTGACTGCATGAAGTGAGTATGCTTTTTTGAACTGTTTACAATAACTGGGGCATTAACTTACTGATAATTACATTTTGGTGAAGAGGGCTTTGTTGAAATCTAGCTGTCTGAGTATATTTGGATCTTGATGAATGGTGACTTAAGTAACTCCCCATACTTCAAGATGTAAATATACCTTTTAATCTGTAAGTTAAAGCCTAATTAATTGTAAAAAGGAAAACTAGGGAAAAAAAGCATACTCGCTGCAGCAAGCATAGAGGACCACATTTTAAAAGCATCCTCTAAATTGATTCCTAATCTATGGGAAGGCAAATTTGGGGTCCTACAGATTTCTGTGGGTTTATGGCATTTCTGCAAACACATCCAAATACAAACCAATGTAAACCCATTAACCCTGATACAAAATAATAAGAGTGTCCAAAAATAAGATCAAATTATAGAGTGGATTGCCCTAATATTTCTTCTATTGTTCTGAAGGTATATACAAAAGGTTACATTTGGAATTTTCTCATCTGCAGTAGTATGATAGGTTAATTCATTTATTAGCCCAGTCTTATTTCTTACTTCAGATATAAAATACATCTTGGTAATTAGTAACTTAATTCCAGAATTTTTCTGGCTAAGACTTGTGTTCTATGATGACATACACTGCTTTTAGAATACATTTTTCTGATAACCCTTTTGTAATCTTTTAGGTTCATACTTCTGGAAGCAGTAACTTATTACTGCACGAAGAACTATGTTTATTAAATAGTTTTATTTGGGTTTTTTTTGTAATTCTAAAATACAAAAATATGGTATGTGATTTGAACGACAATACCTCTGTGTTTCAGGTGCTCTTCGTTTTAAGAGAAAGATCATTGGATTAAAAGATGAGTTTTACAACCGCTACATAATGAAAAGTTTTTTATTTGAACCAGTAGTCAAAGCATTTCTCAACAATGGATCCCGCTACAATCTGATGAACTCTGCTATAATAGAAATGTTTGAATTTATTAGAGTGGTAGGTTCTATGCTTTTTAGTTAGAATTTTTATTTTGTTTGAGAAAATCTAATAAGCATTATTGGTATTTTGGCTTTTTTGAGATTATATTTGGAGAGAATTTTTGAAAGGAAACCAATGTTACCAAAAGCTTATGAGAGATTCAATTCCAACTAAGAAAAAAAATACTCTCAGCAGCTATGAATCCTTTATAGAATAGTTTGAAAACTGATATAATACTGTCACGTTGGTCATTTTAAGAAAGCGAAATTATAGTTGACATAGTATTTGGATGTGTTTTTATTTAGTTTTTAACTTTGAGGTTTTCTGGATTTTTCTTGACATTCCTCCGTATGTTTCTTAAGAGTGAAAACTTGATTCTTTGATAATATAGTATGTTTGCAGTTCTCAAACACTGGTGTGTGTCTCAATTATCTGTGGCATGCTTTTTAAAAAAATTATGGTAAAATATACATAACAGAATTGGCCCTTTTAACCATTTTTAAAGGGTGCAGTTCAGTGGCATTAAGTGCATTCACATTGTTTTGCAGTCATCACTGCCATCCATCTCTAGCACTGTTTTGTAGTGTGATTTTAAAATATATTTGCTCAGCCCAGACTTAACTGAATGAGAATTATCTAGCGTGGGACGTGGGCATTTACTTTGGAAAGAGCCATGGATAATTCTGAGGTGCACCAAAAGTTGGGGGATATGGAAGTATGTTATGCCCATTTTCATTTGTCCCTAAGATTGGATAACAATTTTATGAAATTACTATTCTGGGGGAGTTAATGAGTTCACTGCAGTTAAGCCTCATATTTTGCTAAAATAACATTTTCCCTATCATTTTGTATTATAATTCTTTTTATAGGAAGATATAAAATCATTAACTGCTCATGTAGTTGAAAATTACTGGAAAGCACTGGAAGATGTAGATTATGTACAGACATTTAAAGGATTGAAACTGAGATTTGAACAGCAAAGAGAAAGGCAAGATAATCCCAAACTCGACAGGTAGATTACCACATATTTGAACCTGTTCAGGTTTATGGTGGCGGCTCTTTTTTGTTTGTGTATTATTTAGCTTGGCAAGGGAGGGGGAAATAAACAGAAGTTGTATTTTCTCTCATGATCAATGTAAATGTTTTCCTGACAATGTTAGGTGGGTGTCAGTATGACCTGTAGACCTATCTCAGGCATATATATCCAGTTAGACAACGCAAAAGAAAAGAAGCAAACCACTGATATGACATTAAGGCTATTTTTTGCGTCCAAAGTAAAATCAGATTATTAGCTTTTCTTTAATGTTACAAATTATTTTAATGATATTGTGTAACTTTTTCCAAAATACCTGAATTCACGTACTTGTGGTATATTTTAAAATCCATAAATTAAGACTTATTAATTCCTAGTTTAATAACTGATCTGTAACAGTACAATTTTTATAATAGGGATTTTGATTCCACTAATTAACACTAGATATGGTAGAGTGTAGTTTTTTGTTCTGTGCTGGGTCAAATCTGTTTTGTTTTTTTTTTCCCCACAGCCTCTATGTCTGTGAACCTATAATATTCCATTAATCTATTAAGACTAATTTGGGAGAATATTTGAAGACTAAAAAAGTCTTTATAAGTCTGTTCATTTTACTTCCTTCTCTTTGCTCACAGTATGCGTTCCATTTTGAGGAATCATCGATATCGAAGAGATGCTAGAACACTAGAAGATGAAGAGGAGATGTGGTTCAACACAGACGAAGACGACATGGAAGATGGGGAGGCTGTAGTGTCTCCCTCTGACAAAGCTAAGAATGATGACGACATTATGGATCCAATAAGTAAATTCATGGAGAGGAAGAAATGTATGTTGAAAAGATGGGCAGAGAAAAATGAAGGCTTTCCTTTTTTTCTTGATAGAGTGATTAGTATCTACTTTGTGTCACAACAGATTTTAAAAGACTTGCTTTTATAGACTTTGGATTAAATAGCTCTGTTGTGAAGGTATTAGACTAAATTTCCTTCATCTGACTTGCATAAGATATTTCAGGAAGGGTAGAACACTGAAGGTTTCCTTCCTTTTCTGGATAAGGACGCTAAGTATTTTGCTAAGCTTTGTTCATAAACTGAATTTCAGTGTTGCTCTCTTGCAAAGGAGTAAGCTAGTTAATTATTGTGTTTTAGAGCCACCTCACTTGGAGGTATTTTAAAAGATGAGTACGGGTGACAACTATTGACAATATTCTCATTTTTAGTAAAAGAAAGTGAAGAAAAGGAGGTGCTTCTGAAAACGAATCTTTCTGGTCGGCAGAGCCCAAGTTTCAAGCTTTCCCTCTCTAGTGGAACAAAGACTACCCTCTCCAGCCAGTCACCTGCAACAAATCTGCCTGGTTCTCCAGGATCACCTGGATCCCCAGGCTCTCCAGGCTCTCCTGGATCCATCCCTAAAAGTACATCTCAGACGGCAGCTATTACTACCAAGGTATGTTTCAGCTTTCTCAGCACTGATTGTCATGACTTGGACTCCTTTCAGTTACTGTCTTTTGGAACTGATTTTAACATTTGCGAACTAGAGAAAAATTCTCCTACCAGCAGCTGAGAGATTTCTAAAATTTTTTACCACCCATATAGAAATTTGAATATATTCTTATTTTGGCTATTTGCATTGTAGAATCTTAGGCTCATACTTGTATGTGTCAAAACATGTACAGAAATTTTAAAGTTTATTATTTTATCAATTTTCCCAATTAATACCCAGGTAAAGACTTCATGGGGAGAAGATAATTTAAATATCTGGATACTCCTTTTTTTTTTTTTTTAAAGCAAGGTTTACAAAAAAGAATTTAACTGTCTACTATCACAAACATTTCATTTAGGAATGATCAAAATTTTACCACCAAAATATGGGATAAACATAATCTAAATAAAAACCAATTTTTTTGGCCACCTTATGTTTCCTTGGACTAAGTTAACACAGTGGCATTTGGGATTCATTGATCTACATCAGGTCTGACATGAGCCACAGTGGTTTCTGGTGAAGGAGCAGGGCCTGGATGAAATGAGGAAGGAACAGGGCAGAATTACATTCCTAGCCTCTGAGAGTCTGTCTACCCTCATTTCTGCCTGTCTACCCTTATTTCCAGTGGTCTGTTTATTTTCTGTGGTTTTAATTTTGATATTGTGGAGACTGTTAAAAAATTTTCATGCATTAAGTCTTAAAAATTAAATTTTGAATTTTAAATTCAGTACTTAGTATTTATCTCCCAAGTGGTTTGCAAGGATCATGTGAAAGTGTTAAGTTTCTCAGTCGTGTCTGACTCTGTGACCCATGGACTATATAGCCTTCCAGGTTCCTCTGTCCATGGGATTCTCCAGGCAAGAATACTGGAGTGGGTTGCCATTCCCCTCTCCAGGGGATCTTTCCAACCTAGGGATTGAGCCTGTGTCTCCTATATTTCAGGCAGATTTCTTTACCACCTGAGCCACCAGGGAAGTCTCATCAACTGCTTAAAATTTTATCCTGGAAAACTTGGGAAATATGTAATAAATTTCAGCTCCATACAGTCTCGCCTCCCAGAAATAACCAGTTTGTATATTGGGGTGGGGGGATGTCCTTTACTCAGACTTAAAACACGAGTATTAAAAAATGTAGTCTTTTCTTGAAATAATCCTTATTTCTGAACAGGGAGGCCTCGTGGGTCTGGTAGATTATCCTGACGATGATGAAGATGATGATGAGGATGACGACAAGGAAGACACTCTACCATTGTCAAAGAAAGCAAAGTTTGAGTCATAATAGTGGCAACTGCTTGTGATCAGTACCTGTCGAGAAAACTGGTTCTCTACCCCTCCCCACTACAACATCGACAACACAGCAGTGGTTTCTTGTGAATGACTGACACACGGATCAGCTCGCACACTTGACTTCTGCTCATCAAGTGCCAATTCAGTGGAGCAGGAGGAGGGGACACTACACATTTAGGGGAAAGACTTACGCCTTTTGAGCTCTCCAGCCTGGACCACACATTGCCCTTTTCTCAGGGAAGGAAATGGAAACAAAAAGCCAACAGGGCAGGGGTTTTCTAAGTGGAACTCTGGTCTGCCGGGTCAGTTGCTACAATCAGAACATGCTTTCTCGGACCATGTTTGAGACTCAGAAGAATAGGCTTTTCTGCCATAATTCTTCACTAGTTAAGAATGCCAGCAGTTTCTTTGTATAAAGAGACCTGCCTTTAAAATCGTACATTCTGAACATTTTAGTCAAGTTACAACAGGTTTGGAAAAACTTCTTTGGGGGAGGGGCGAATATAAAGTTTCCTCTTTTTTATCTGTTCCCTTTGCCCTTCAAACTGCAGATTTTTTTTTTTAAGTGGGGATTTGTCCCTACTTGATTAAAGATTGAGTGGAATTCTAGATGTGGTCATTTGTGTCATAATTTTTTTTGTTTCATTTTGTTTTTGATTTTTTCTTCTCTGAGTGTATGCTTAGTTGTTGAGTATATATATTTGGGACCATTAAAATTTTTTTTGATGTAATATAACCTAACGTTGTGCTGGTACCTGTTTTACCATGTGTAATTTTTGTTCTACATTTCTTAATTTGTTTAGAGTTTTATGAAAGATGGTATAGTTTTTATTGACAAAAGCAGAGTAATCTTACAACTATGTGCATACAAAAAGCAATACTATTTTGTGACTAAATATTTTATATTAAAATTTACATCAGCAATTGTCTTGAGAATTCAGGGAAACAGAATGGAATTTAAAATTTCAACAGTTTTGTTAAACCTAGAAACGTGAAATTAGTATTCCAAAGAGATTCTGAAATTTAATATCTTGGGGGAAAATGATGGTACATTAAATCAAAATTGAGGATGAATGATTTAAGAATAACATTGACTTTTGAATAATAAAAGAAAAGTGAAGAGTAAGAGAAATTGTATTAGTTGTATTTTTCTTTTTCTTTTTTTCAACTGCTCCCTTTGGAATACCAGTTGGAATTGTAATTGATGGTTCCTAAATAAATACCTGGCCAGAGGACCATCAGATACCACTTTATTAGCAGTATTTTTTAAATAGGTTCTTGTTATTGTCGAAGGTGTGCTAAAATTTTAAGGAAACATAAATATCTCAGTTCCACATACCTTCACTTTTTTAAAGTGAAGATTTTAGAACTTATGGAAGAATGTATTTGCAAATGTGAATAAAAATTCATATCTAGGAAAAGGATACTATTTTAAGTATCACATACTTTCACTGGATAATCTAGCGAGCACTGTGTGCTTCTACCTTAGCTCCTTTGCTAGCCCTCAGTACATTGTGGTACCAAAAACAAGGTTACATGCAACAGGTGAATAGAAAACCAGAAATCAACAACTTGCTACAGTCATGAAAGAGTGTTGACTTTTTTTTTTTTTAATGAAACTTTGGGTGCATTATTAACTATAAGAGTTAAGTGTATTTCACTACACTATAGAGATACTTCTGGGTCACAAGTTCTGGCAATTAATAATTTTAATCAATTTATGTTGTAAATAAAGAGAACAAAACTTAATAGGATCTAACTTAATTATATTATGTCTTCCTTTATTACCTAGAAAGTCCATGTGAAATGTCTGTGCCTTAAACATACAGTTTAAACTGACCTTTCTGATTGACTCATGCAACACTTACTTGTCTTGGTATCCTGGGAGTTCTTGGGTGGTGGGAAGAACCACCCCTTATTTTCATGAATTGTGGTCCAGTATAGTTAAAAAAAAAAAGGTATTAACTATTGACCTTCAACATTTAAGAGATGCCCTTTCAATGATGCACAGATTGGTTACTAAAGCAGAAACTTTATACAAGTTGCTACAATAGGAGAAAAGTTTCATGGAGGAAGACTATAAGCAATAAATTACTAGAAAAACAACACTTGAATTGACACAGTTCCATCTGACTCAAAAATCCATGCTTTTGAGTATAAATACTATCTTGATAACCAGTGTCAATATAATGTAAGTATTCACATATTTTAATGCTATCCATTGGTTCTTTTGCTCATTTTATAAAAGGAAAAACATTTCACCTCTCAGTGATTACCTAGCAATTTCTGAAAAAAAATCTGTAATTGTTACAGAAAACACCTTGACATCCATCTTGTCAAGAAATGTTACTCGGCATTTTTTTGATAGAATGAAGCCTGATGGGTTTTCTCTTGTTTGATTGTACTCAGATTCTGCATGTCATTTTCTTTGGAAGGCCAATGTGCAAGTCAGTTTTGGGAATGAAGGGGAGGCATGGAGCAGGGGAGAATGTGTCTTTTTTAATTCTTAATTTAAGCATTGGCCTTTGCAAAGCTTGCCAGATTAGAAGAGCAAGGAGTTTACACTGGAAGATTTCTTTTAAGTGGAGAACTTAAAGTTACCAATCTCTAGTATTTACCATATCAAAAACTCCTTTGGGGGAAAATTTAGGATCTTCAAAATTCTTACATACAAGGTTGTATTAACTGCCGTAATATTTCGAGCAAGAGGATTATAAAAAGATGTTTATGGGATGGAGTATTGCCTACCATCATATGGGACATTGACACACAAGGAAATGCAGCAGTCATCAGTATACTGGGGTACTCAGTGCTAGATTAGTTTGATTTTTCCCTTTGGCCTTAATAATTTATCTTGGCTCTTTTGAAAGGAAACTAGAGACTCTCTTCAAATAGACAAATGTCCTAACTGCTGGAGTCAGATGTCTTGGTCCTTAAAATAACTTGTTAGAGACAACTTTCCTTGACCTTTTTGCTCTCATAGGTAAGATCTCCAAGGACATAGTGATTCCTTCAACATGATGCTAAATGGGCTTAATTTCTTTATGTTCCCACCATGGTGTAGGTCACATCCTATCACAAACTCAGTGGGCCCTATCCAGTTTATAGTACTTGACACCTAGGCAGCATTGGCTACTCCATTGTCTTCTGGATACCTTATTCTCTTGGCTGCTCTAACATGTGCTTTAACACCACTGACCTTTCTACTGTTTGATAGCTCCCTACTTGACCACTGCTGAGATTTATTAGGGTACTCATCTTCCCAATTTCCATCAAGCCACGTTACTTTTATGTCCCTATCCATTTGTTCTGTGCCCTGAAAGACTGCCTGTCATGTACCTTTTTTTTTTTTCCTTTTGAACTTTTTATTTTGTGTTGGGGTATAGCTGATTAACAATGTTGTGATAGTTTCAGGCAAAGGAGCTCAGCCCTACATGTATCCATTCTTTAAACCCCCTTCCAACCAGGCTGCCAGGTAACATTTAGCAGAGTTCCATGTGCTATACACTGGGTCCTTCGTGATTACTGGTTAGGTATTTTAAATACGGCAGTGTGTGCATGTCATGTGCCTCTGAGTGCTCTTGCCTTGCCTGCTGATGAACTCATTTATTGTTTGGAACTGTTCCCCTGACGCTTAGGGACTCTGACCTTGAAGGAAGAGTTATTATCTTTTTCAACTTAGTGTCTAACATGATACATAGTCTACAGATGAATCTTCAAATGTTTACTGGACAAATGAAGGAAAGACTGAGTAATGTACATACAATATACAGACTGGGAAAGTCTTAGCAGACACCCCTACACAGTCAAGTCTGACTCATTCTTGACCAAAAGACTCTGGATATAAAGAGGACTCAAGACCTTTGTCCTGTCCTTTATGCCTGTGAGCCTTAGATTAGTGACAAAGGAGGTATTTTAGGTTCATATAATTAGCCTATCTTGAATCATTTTAACAACTATTAAAATTGTACTTAAGCTTTCCTGGTCTGTTCATCCTGAACTCCAGCACCTCTAATTCTCTTACTGATGTGTTGGTCATAGTATTTTACATGTACATACAGACCCCTGCCTTTTATAGCTAGACTTAGCCAAAGGCTGTAGATTTCACATCTATTGGTCTGCATGTTTGTTTATCTAATGTACTTAAACTTTTGTATCCTGATCTATTTCTTGAGATGTGAGTTCCCAGAAGGAAGACCAGGTTTATATGATCGGGTATGTAGGTAGATTGGTTGGGTAGATAGATTTTCTGTGTCGAATGAATGAGCACTTCACAAGAATAGTAAAACGGATGCATTTCATTTCTGAAAGAATAATGTTTCCGATAAAGAGCCTGATGAATGTGACCATTCAAATTGTACAGCATTCTATAAAGTAGTATTCTGGAAGAAGATAAGGAAATAACGAAAATTTTTTAAGAAACTAGATGGTTCTTTTTTGGCTCATATTGTGGGAAATAGGTGCCCCATCAAAACCAAGAGTTGAGGAAAAAAAGTGGCTTTTAGAATACTCAGGCAACTTTCAAAAAGGGTCTGAATGTTATTTGAATTATTAGTGAAAACCTTTCACTCTAGGCCCTCCCAATTCAACTTCTTCATGGACCTACATTGGAAGACTAGAATGTGGTGGGGGAGGTTGGGGACAGAACAAATGAGGTTGAATGAGACTCAAGAAACTAACATATATGTGCTCTACACATGTTGATTAATCAAGTTGATTAGAATGTTCAAACTACTACACAATTGCACTCACACGCTAGCAAAGTAATGCTCAAAATTCAAGGCTTCAACAGTACATGAACTGAGAACTTCCAGATGTACAAGCTGGATTTAGAAAAGACCAAGGAACCAGAGATCAAATTGCTGCTGGATATAACATCTGCTGGATCATAGAAAAATCAAGAGAATTCCAGAAAAACATCTGCTTCATTGACTATGCCAAAGCCTTTGACTGTGTGGATCACAACAAACTGTGAAAAATTCTTAGAGAGAT